GCTGACGTAAGAGTGCAGCTCCTTTTAGAAAAGTTAGGACAAAAGGGGCAGAAATCTTGGTGTGGTTATGGGCTGAATTGCATCCCCTCAAAATTAACATGTTAAAGCCCTAACCCTAAGAATGTAACTATACTGTATTTGTAAACAGGGCCTTAAAGAGGTAATTAAGGTTAAATGAGGTCATATCAGTAGGTCCTAATCCAATGCAATTTGTGTCCTTGTAAGATGAGGAAATTACAACACACAGACACCCCAGGGATGTGTGCACACGGAGGGAAGACCATATCCAGGCGCAGGGAGGAGAAGGCCCCACTGCAAAGCCAAGGAGAGAGGCCTCAGAGGAAGCCAACACTACTGATACCTTGATCTTGGATTTCTGGCCTCCAGAACTGTGAAAAATTTAGCGCCTACTGCTTGGGGCACCCAGTCTTGGATGTCCCGCTACGGCTACCCCGGCACACTAACACAGTCCCCACATTCACTCATCTAGTTTTTGTCCCCTGATAACAAGCTCCCCAGTCCTTGGCACCATTTTTAAGAGGGAAAGGGTGGCTGAAGTGAGACAGGAAACCACTTCATCAAGGAACACAGCTCCTAGCACAGAGAGGCAAATTTCAGGTGTCCCTCTGTCCCACCCATGTGAGGCTGGTGCTCAGCCAACTGGGGAATTAACCAAAACATGGAAGGAGGACCGTAATTTTTCAGGGCGGGCCCAGAGGACAGAACCAGAACAGCTGTGGAAACTTATAAGGAGACAGGTTTCTAACACAACATAAAGACAACTCCCTAATGGCTGTCGTGTTCAAAAATGGAATGACCCGCCACGCGAGGGTCTGCTGTCCACGATTCTGGAGAGGCGAGCACAACGTGGAACGCACCAGCTGCCCCTGGCTCAGAAGCCTCAGTTCCGAGCTGCACCCATCTCTCCGCAGAGCACTAGGCGTCATGGCGCAACGCCTCTGTGGAACCCTAACCTGCACTGTTAGCCAGAACACACTGCCCTCTCCTTCCTGCTCCCGCCTCTCCGTCTGGCTTCGACACCCGCTCTCCATTCCAACAGTACCTCTCCCCTTGGATTCCACACACACTGCTCTCTTTCCATCTTCCTGGTTCCTGTAATTTTTGTGTTCTCAAGTCCTCAGATTGTCTTGCGGAATGCCCTGATGTGCCTCTAACCCTCAGGGCCACCCACCAGTCCCCTAGCCCCTATGCCAGCCTTGTGACAGAATTCAGACGCACCTGGAAAGAAAGAGCACCCGCAGACCCGGAGCCCTGCAACACCCAGCTAAGCCATCTAAGGCAAGCTACTTAGCCTCCCAGAACCACGGAGTTTACCTGTCTGCTTCATTTACAACAGCAAAAATGCAAAAACCCCATGCCCAACAAAAGGGGCCATTAAATACTAAGGTTTACATTCATGAGGGAATACTGCGTATACAGAAATGACGCCAGAGAAGAATTCTGAGTGACAAGGGGACGCTCAGAAATGCTGAGAGAGAAATAAAATCGCAAAGCACTGTTTATTATAAACGTGTTTTTGTAGCAAAGAATACCAGGACACAAAATACTTTATACAATCATAAAGCTAAGAGTAATTATTTTCTAATTAATCTTTCTCTGTACTTCCCAAGATGTCAACAGCATGAATGCTTTTTAACTAGAAATAGTTATTTTCAAAATCTTTCACACTCCCATCTTGGCTTGTTCCTCCTTAAAGAAAAAAACCAAGAAACCACCAACTGACATAGCAGCCTAACAAAGGGACCCAGCAGGTCCAGGACACTAGCTACTTATTCTTGCCTACAGTACAATGGGCCATGTTTGAACTTGGAGAAACAGGGCAGCTAAGCAAACCAGGCTCAGGGAAGGTCCCCACACGGCTGGGCGGCGTGGGCAGCCTCCCAGAGGGTCAATTCTTAGACCCACTCGTCAAGTCGCTTCCACTGCCACTCTGCCCAATCGTCCCTGAAGGAAGAGTGTGAGTGCCACGCGTCACCGACGGGTCACCATCTAGCCGAACCGCGAGACTTGGCTCCACACTGCACTGGAGTAAAAAGAGTGCCAGCAGAGCCATGTCCCCATTCACTGGGTTTTGTCCCCTGGTAATGAGCTCCCTTGGCTCCCGCCCCACACTGGAAAGAAGCGGCCGCATAATGGTGCCAGCCAGAGAAGCCCCTTGTGAACGGCCCATCGAGGAATCTAGGAGTTGGCAGTGGCTTGGCCACACAGGCCAAAGCAAATAGCCATTTCAGTGGAAAATATTAGGTGGACTCAAGATGGAATGCGTCACTTCCCCCTGGTTGTTGCGGGGTCAAAGATGTGGCCACAGCCGTGCAGCGGGCCCCCATCCGGCAACCCACGACACAGGCGGCCCGGGGGTGGGTCTCGTCACCAGCGACTAGCAGCCCGAGCGCTGCATGGTTTTCATCCCCTTCCCTGCTGTTACCCACGGTAAGGGGTCAGCTGCGAGCGAGCGGTGTGTGACACAGGCCGCATTTCTAATCCTCTCAACCTCCCGTCCACACTCACATTTCAAGCGTAGGACCAACTGGCGGCTGGTCACGGGCCTCTATCTTAACCAGCTTTTCAGGAGCTGAACCCGGAGGCACACTGCTGTTCCACCCCAGTGGGCACACATTTACACCCACAACCCCAGCGCCAGTCCCTTCACACTTTCCTCCTCTCTGCAGGGACTTAAGAGGCTGTAACTCATATCGATTCTGTTCAGCGGGCTCCCCTGAATACTTCCCAAAGCAAAGTTAATGGCTTCAGGAACAAGCTCCCTATTACAGCAGATAAATGCTAAAATAGTCTCATGATCACTGACACTTTTTTACGACCTGTACAATAAATGAATGAACCAGTTATGTTCTGCGTATACTATGGCCTTCTTAAATTGCTCCTAGAGAATTCGAACCGTGCTTGGAATAAAAGGCCACCTAGCGACGCCAGGCTGTGCCGTACACTTGCTCTCTGCTGTTCCCTGAAAACGCAGATTCATGAAACCAGCTAGGAGACACTCTGAGGGTCCATCTACATGGCCCTGTGTTGTCATGATTTGGAATTTGGCCAGATGGACCAGAGCCACCAAGATGTCCATGCACCATGCAAATAGCAGATGCTCTCTGACTCTGTAACTACGATAGAGGAAAAGGGCGTCCAAGTAGAAATTTGGCCAAAACATTCTTGATAACGTACGCTCATCGCAAATCCCACACAGAAGGGCTCAGAACTGGATAAGGCCCCTCTGCCCAGGCCTCCACCTCCCACGCCTGAAACCGAAACACCTCCTCATCCTACAGCTGTGCACACCCAACCCAGGCCCCATCCAAGGCAGGGAAATGCCACGGCCCAACTGGTCAGGGAAGACTTCCAGAAGAGGGCTCTGAGTCCGCCGCTCTGGAGAGGAAGCCCTGAGCAGAGGTAATTTAGCATTGATATTACTCAAGGAGAGATTCTGGGGAGACATTTTTCTATTTATTCCTACCATCAGAAACAAGAACTTAGCTTTTCACTCTCCAGTTCCTTCTCTGTGCTCTGATTTATCTGCTTGCTGTTATCACTGCCAGAAAACATTTCTCCCCGAGTCCTAGGGTGACATCCATCAAGTCAGAGACCAACTGGCTGGACTTCAGGAGACTATTTTGGATACACACTGTGGCCCATGTCCTACTCTGCAACAGAGTCACATGGAATGGCTTTTACTTAAGCTTTAAACATAACGAAGTGTAAATGATTTCCCTGGGCCCCTGTCCCTACTGTGCCCAGCTTCAGACACAGGGGCGGGGGCCCCTAACCACAGGGGGAGAGGAACCAGCCGTCCTTGAACTGAGCAGTCTTCTCTTCTGCTTTGGGTTCCATGGTTGGGTCAGCTCACAGGCATGACCCTCTCACCTTGAGCCTGCCCAAGGAGGGATGAAACACACATCTGCAACATATTTGTTTACCAAAAGCATCCTCTCCATAGCTGGGACAGAAGGGGACAGAGGAAGGTCCTGACACTACCAGGCCCTCCTGGCTCGGACAGCTTGAGCAGTGTATGCTGACAGCTTGGCAGATGGGAAGCATTGTCTCAAATCCTGTTCAGTTCTGTGGTAACCCAAACCTCCACCTTATGGTGGACTTTGTATCTCTAGGCACACAGCTTCCACTGGTATGGGTAATTTTCTGAAAGCTTGGCACTCGGTGACTGGGGATGTGTCATATAATCCAACGGCTAGTGGGAGGCCCAGTTATACTTGGTAAACAAGGGGTGGAGGTGCTGGGCGGGCCAGCCCCGCCGTACAAATGCCCGTGCGGCAGGACCCAGAAGCAGTGACTGGTGACCCAGGTGCCCCTGCCCCTCCGAACAGCAGACGCTCCCATTTACTATACGAGCAATTTGCCACTTAGACATTTCTTAACCCCATATCTGCAAATGGCTTCCATTCTTCCAGTATAAAATATCAGAAACTTGCACAATGCAAAATAACTTCAGAAACTCACACGTATCTTATTTTTTCCAAAATATCCGGTTCCAACATATACACCCATTACAGGAAAAAAAAAATTATCCAAAGTCACCAACTCTAAATGACACCAAATGCCAACTCATTGACCCCCAAGTCTGTCCTGGTCCAAACAGCCCAGAGTCCACACGCACTGGGAAGGGCAGGTAAGTGAACATAAAACTCTTCCTGACTGTGTCTTCCCTCTTGAGGTCTGCTGATGCTTTAGCACAACAGAGCTCAAGGTCTGCACAGTGAAATCACCGGGGGAGCTTTTCTAAAATGCTTTATACTCAGGTTGCACCGCAGACCAACTACACCAGATTTTCTGGGGGTACAGCTCAGACATCAGCTTTCAAAATCCCTGACTTTTGAAGCCAAGTTCGAGAACCAGTGCTCTGGCAAAATACAGAGTTCACGGGCGCACCTGTCCTTCCTTTGTCAACACGCCCAGGATACTAACACAGCACAGAACCAAAGAGAACCATACCCCGGCCCCGGGGCCGCGCCTACCTATGTAGAGCGAGGAGTCCTTCCTCCGCACGTGGTCATCGATGTAGGAGACGCCCAGGGGCTGCACGGGGGTAGCACCGATGCCCAGGAGCACCTGGGCCCCAATCAGCAGCAGGTACATCATGTTGGTGGCAGTCCGGCTGCGGCAGATGAGGTCAGGGTCAGGACCCTGGTCGCCGTCTGAGCCGTTGGCAGCACAGACGTCACGGCCCTCGGCGCCCCAACGGATCTCGCCGGCTTCGTACTTGTACTGGTGGGTCAGGAACTCAGGCAGGGCGGACAGCAGCGCGCCCAGGGCCATGACGATGCCCCCACAGCCGATGAGGCGCGGCCGGTGCCCACGAGCCCCGAAGTAGCTCACGAAGAGGATGAGCGCCAGGTTCCCGATCTCGAAGCTGCTGGCAATCACGCCCACGTCGGCACTCTGCAGGTTGAACCTCCGCTCCAGGGTGGTCAGCACGCTCACCTGCAGGGGCAAAACAGCATCTCAAGTCACTCCAGGGGGACACCAGTGGGGCAGCCCCTTTCGGGCCTCCTGGCGCACCGAGCCCTCCCCCCAGAGGTTTGTACCAGATGCAAGAAGGCACCTGCGCAGGGTGATTTAAATCTGAAGAGTCCAAAAACGTTTACTTAATATGATAACCCTAGTCACACAGCTAAAGAATTAACTTTCTCGCTGGCAAAGAAGTTTTTCTTGGCCTCTTGCCATCCTGAAAGGTTCTGCTCACTCAGGAAGCACTATTTCCCTGGCTCCACAGCAATGTGAACCCATGCATCCTGTGAAAGTCCAGAAGTCTACCACTTTTACATGCTCCCAACTACAGCCTGTTTATTTGTAAAGCCCCGTCTGCGAGAACACAGGAGCAAGGGGCTTCTCACCAGGAGGTTAGCATAACTGAAGAAGATAAAACAGAAACCTGGATGACAAAATGGACAAGCTCAATGTGAGCTCGTTAGATTAATCATTAGCTCTTCACCTTCTTCTAGAAATGTCCAAACAACGCAGGTGTCCCTAGAGGCTGCCAGGTAAACCCATTCTGGACTGGTCTATGCCCTATTGCTCCACCAAGGTCCCCCAGGGGGAATATTTTTATGATTTCCCCCACCTGTGTATTCTGGCCTGCCTTGCATTTGCTTAACAAATATTTACTGGGTATCTGCTGTTGGTCTGATGATGCCTGAGACACAAAAGACGAAAACAAGGAAGAGATGACACCTGACTGAAGACGCCACATAGCAGAAAGGTGCACAGGAACCCAACTGTCACACAGAGCAGCTGGATGCTGCATTAATGATGCAAACATCACGCTGAGGGGGGTCAAGAGGAGATGCTTTATTTTCAGGCTTCTTAGGTGGAGAGAAAATGTAAATGCCCTTTCTCACTTGCTGTCTGCAGGTTCCTCACAGGTTTATGAGCAAGACAGAGTTCCTGTCACGGAAGATCTGGCAGCCGCAGCTGGGTGGCAAACAGCTCTGCAGCAAAGGGAACAGTGTAAGCAAAAGTTGGGCAGGGCGATTTAATCGTGGAAGGGAAAATAGTAGGAAAGGTAGACTGGGGACAAATTTTAAGCCACAGAGGCTGTCCTAAAGAAATGAGACAATCGCATACAGATCATGGAGGGAGGAACCCCTGGTTTGAATCCCACTTAGTAGTTCCTTTATTAGCTCTGTGACTTTGATCAAGTTATTTAAACCGTTCAACATTGATCTCTATGATATAAGAATACCTCCCTACCGGGACGGATGTGTAGGCTGGAACTAGTGTATGCAAAGTCCCTCTGCACAGAGCAGACTTTCTGTCCCTGGCGGAGAGTGCAAGGGAGAGGCCTCCGAGCAGGGGGACGCAGAGCCAAGGCCCTGGACCAGAAGGCCTAGGTCCCTCCAACTCTGAGACCTTAGACAAGACACCCTGTGCTTTCACCTCCCGATCCGTGGAATGGGGGGGTAAGACTGCTGCCCCCTCAGGCTGGGTCAGGAGTAGAGCACAAGTGCTAGGGGAGGGCCAGCTGGGACCCCTGTCACTCCTCTGAGGCCAGCGGGGAACGGCAAAGGGTTTTAAGGCATATGAGGACAAGTAGGTGTGACCACAGTGTGGACAATGGATGGTGGGAGAGTGAAGGAATGCCAGCAGAGAAAAAGACTGGGCTACAATTAAGCAGAGAGAGAAGAAAAGACCCGAGTCAACACGGTGGCAATGGAAATGAACAAAACAACTTGAGCACGGCAGAGGCAGAGTTATATCCTCGGGGAGGCTGGCTCTGTCAGCTCAGCAGGGTGGGTGTTGCCAAGGAAAGGAGGAGGAGAGACCCATGGATCTAGCCTTCCTCCAGATGTAGAAGTCCGTGCACTGGTCCACAACCTCCCAGAAGGCTCAGGCATGGGTGCCTACGTGCACACCCTGCATACACGGGTGATGCTCTATTTGCCTTTATTGTAGAAACGAACAACAGCCCAGTGATTCTTCTTGGCCTTACTTCCAACTCCACACATTTACACAGGCTCCTTGAGCCCCTGAGACTCCCCTTGCACTTGGAAAGCACTAAAAATTTCAGGTGCCTGGGCCCTCCCAGTGCCTGACCAATTGGTCAGGAGAAGCCCAGGCGCTGAGATTTCAGCAAAGACCCCCAGGTGACGCTATGAGCCACACAGTGCTACCACAAGGACACACAGCTGCAGTTCGTCCTTCAGCATGGGTCCTGGGGGAGCTCTACACGGCCCTGTCCTGACACAGGCACGGGCCCCCATCCGTGACCTACGACAGGACATCTGCGCACCCGTCACCCACACGCCAGTTCCGATTCCTGTTTCCACTGTGCCTTCTAGCCCAGTCAAGGCCAGCTCACAACTCAGTCAGCCATACTTGTGCGGCTCGATTACTATTTTTCAAACACCAAGTATTTGTAGTTGTGGAGGAAAGAAACTCAGGAAGTCCTGGTCTCATTAAAGTGGCTTTCAGATGCTCCCCTGAACATTCTGAAAGGTCTGGGTGAGTAAACACACAGGTTTTTTTATTTATTCACCCTTTTCCTCCGTAACACAGACAAGCACGACGGAATGCGCTCCGCCAGAGGCTCTGTCAGGTGATGCAGCACTGGAGCGGAACCCAGGGAAGGCAGCCTGACTGCCCGGGGGGTGGGGCTTCAGGGTGTCACCCAGGCCCTTGTGGTGACTGTTAAGAGATGCCCAGAAAAGTCCGGATGCAGGAACAAGCAGGGACACATCTAGGCAGGGCCCCTGGGTACACTGCAGTCACCTCCAGCAGTCTGGTGGCTCTGCAGCCCAGCGACCTCCGTCAGGACAGTGACAGGCCGTGAACATGGTAGGAAGGGTGGGCAGGTGGGAGAGGGTTAGAGCAGAAGCCCTATTTCATTTCTGCCATAAGGCTTAACGACATCCACACTTGGCAGCACATCTGAAACATGACAGCCGCTCTGTTTGAACAGGTGTGCCCTGCCATAAACTATCACGCAGGTATGGATATTTATGATGACAGATAAGAGTGGACGGGATAGAGACAGTTGTTGTCGAAAGAAAAATAATTGGCCCTTTCAGAGAGCACCAATGCGCGAGCCTGCAGCTCTTGTCCTGCCTCAAACCTGCTCTTGGCAGGGTGACCCACGGGGGTGACAGGAAGAAGCAGGGTCTTTACCCCCGTGACTCAGCCTCAGGGACGCCCATCTGGCTCACACTTTGTGGATTAGATCAGAGGCTAATGTCTTCAGTTACTTGAAACATGATTTTGAGAAGATGAACTAATGAAGCATGCACAAGGCCATGAAGCCCACTAGTGGCTTTCATGTGGCCATGAACAAGCCATCGATGAAGATGACACACGCTAAAGGGAAAGACTACCTTCACATAATGGGTAGCAGAACTGACGGAAAACATCTTGATCCTTAGAGCCCAAGGAGACGAAACTCCAGGAGCAAAACAGAAAAGGAAGTGTCCCTGCCGTGTGCCAAATGAGTATTAAGTTGTTATTATTAAAAGAATGTAATATTTACCAGGTTCCTACTATCACAATTCAAAAAAGAATTCGCTTCCATTTCACAATCTCCTGAGCACCTGGTTAAAAGAATAAATACCAGTCCCCAGACCCAGAGATGAGGCCCGGAGTCCGAGGGTTTGTGAAACTCCGGGGTTTCCGACGCCCAGCAGGGGCCGGGCACCACACCACTGGCATTGCAGGTCCACACCCGTACTCGCCATCCAGCTCGAGCTGTGGTTCTCACCCTTGGGTGGCAGCAAAATCACCCAGAGGCTACCGGCCCACCGGGCTCCAAGCTCAGTGTGGGGATCAGCAGCCCGCGGCGCGGCCAAGGGCTACAGTCCCCGCACGTGCCCGGGTGGAGCTGATGGCGCTGGTCCGGGGCCAGCACTCTGAGAACTGCTTCTCCCCTGGACTCCCTCTCTACAGCAAACCCACCCTGCTCAGGATGAAAGAGTTTGTTTTTTAAAATTAGGTACCAGGTGAAAACACGCCCTCCTTTCCAGCTCCCCGAGAAACGAAAGGAGCGCTGCACTTTGGAAAGGCTCACCTCTTAGGGGGCCGGAACGGCAGTCAGGCCAGCTGCTGAGGCGGGGGCCCAGACCAAAAGGGAGACCACCAACTCATGCTGCCGCGAATGTGATACGCCCGGAGGCATCAGAGACCAGGTACAGATGAGCCCTGCTCACCTTCCCCAGGGTCGGGGTTGTCAGGAACGCAGTTAGCAGCCACGTTCTCCGGAGCGGCACCTAAAGCTTGACGGCGCGCACGAGCCCTCCCACGGCCCACCTCTGCCTTGCGCAGTGGGGCCTGCACCTGGACAGGAATCCCCTGTGCCTGCCCGCCGCCCGTCGCCCGCCTGCACCACCAGCGCGCTGATGTAACTATGCTGTGAGAGCTGGGCCCGAGCACGAGTCTTGTCCAAGCTCCCCAGGTGACTCCCATGTGCAGGCAGGCAGGGGTGTGTGTGCGCACAGACCCCTATACCCTGCAGCCTGGTCACGCTGGTGTGGCATGGGAGCAGGGGAGCCTCCAGGTCAAATCTGCCTTTGAGGGATGGTGGGTACATACGTATATGCATATGCCGCAATGCAACGACTTAAACACACACGATGTATCCACTTTGCATGTTTTTAAGCCTTAATTTTAAAATATTTTTAAAAACGGAAAAAAAGAATCTGGCTTTGACAGCATTTGGCCAACTGTTCTGCACCTGTTTCCACATCGGCACAGTGAACAGCAGCACTTGAGTGTTATGTGATCACAGCTGGCACACAGTAGGCAGGCATGCCCCATCACCGGTATGCATGTTTTGGTTCCGTTCCGTGCACACTGCCTACTCCGTGGGACACACAAGAGACCTAACCACGACAGAGACTGCACCTGGCCTGTGGCAGCTTACAGTCTGAGGAGGGCGGAGAGGCACAATCAAATCACAGCACAGCCTCTAGCTGTTCCCATGACGAAAGTGGCAAAGG